ACCCAGAAACCCACCTCCACGGGCCATACACCCTGGGCCTGGCAATGGTTGTGCAGGGTTTCCAAGATGTTTCCTATCTAGAGGAAGGGTGGCAGCAAAGGGGTTAAACGTTAAAGCAGTTAAGGTTTGAGACCGGACAGGACAAGTGTTCCCATCTGTACAATGGGGACACGGGCCTGGCTCCGTGGCTCAGCCTGGAATCCCACGCCTTGGGAGGCTGAGGGGAGTGGATTGCCTAAGCCTGTGGGTTCGAGACCCGCCCGGGCAACTTGGCGAGACCTCATCTCTACAGTAAATCAAAATGAGCCGGGCATGGTAGCGCACGCCTGTAGCTCCAGCTACTGGGAAGGCTGAAGCGGAAGGATCACCGGCGCCCAGCAGGTCGAGGCTGCGGTGGCCGGGAGCAGCCACTGCACTCCAGTCTGGGCAAGAGTGAGAATCCAACTCAAAAAAACCCCCCAAAAAACAATGGGGACACGGTCGCCAGCCCCAAATAGGCGCCTTAAATGTCTGGTATAAAGCAAGCTCTTGGCCAGGCATGGTGGCTGTTTCATGTCTATCATTTCAGCACTTTGGGAGACTGAGGAAGGAGGATTGCCTGAGCCCAGGGGGTTCAAGACCAGCCTGGGCAACTTGGTGAACCAGGGGGTTCAAGACCAGCCTGGGCAACCTCATCTCTACAATAAATCAAAAAATAAGCCGGGTGTGGTAGCGCACGCCTGTAGCTCCAGCTACTTGGAAGGCTGAGGCGGGAGGATCGCCGGAGCCCAGCAGGTCGAGGCTGCAGTGGCCAAGAGCGTGCCCCTGCCCGCCAGTCTGGGCGACAGAATGAGACTGCAGCTCAAAAAACAACAACAAAATCCAGCCACATGACCACTACTGATTCCAAATCTAAACACAGTTTCCCAGCAAACAATAAAACCTGGCCCAGCACAAGTATAATTGGAGTCACGCATAGAGAATGTTCTAGAAACCACGTTCAGAGTTCACAGAAATTTGTGATATTCACTCCAAATAGACATACGTAGATATGTGTGTGTGTGCTGGAGTTTCTCTGTCACCCAGGCTGGAGTGCAGTGGCACAATCACCGCCACCACGGCCTCGACCTGTTGGGCTCAGGCCATCCTTCCACCTCAGTCTTCCAAGTAGCTGGAACCACAGGCATGTGCCACTACACCTGGTTGATATTTTTATTTATTGTAGACGAGGTCTCACCAAGTTGCCCAGGCTGGTCTCGAACCCACGGGCTCAGGCAATCCACTCACCTCGGCCTCCCAAAGTACTGGGATGACAGGCTGAGACACTGAGCCTAGACTGATTTTTTTTT